TGGATCGCTGGAGCCCAGCAGGGCGAGGCTGCAGTGGCCGGGTGCGGCCATTGCACTCCAGTCTGGGCGACAGAGTGAGACTCCAACTCAAAAAAAACAAAAGCAAAAACAAAAAAGAAATGTAAAAACAAAGAGAAAAACAGCATACATAAAACCTACCTGATTCAGTAATTACATTAAATGTAACTAGATTAAACACTTCAATAAAATGATAGAAGTCAGTGAAATGGAGGAAAAAAACATGCTCCAACTCTGTGCTGTCTACAAGACGAACACTTTAGACTTAAAGGCACAATAGTTTGAAAGTGAAAGCGTGGAAAAAGATATTTCCTGCAACCAACCAAAGGAGGACTGAAACAGTCATGCCGATATCAGACAAAATATCAGAAAACAATTTTAAAACTACATTAATGTAAAAAGAGTGTCCACAAATGAGGATATAATCACACTAGGTTTCACATTGGTTAGACAGCAGTAAAGAGGAGCAAACTACGACCTATGGACACAACCTGGTCCAGACACCCGTTTCTGGAAATACAATTTTATTTAGAAGACAGTCGTGCTAATTTGTTTACATATTGTCTACAGTTATTTTCATACCGCAATGGCAAAAGTAAGTACTTGTGAAAGTAGTTTTGTGTATGGTCACCAAAATCTAAAATATTTTTATCTGGACATGGAAATAATACCATCCAAAGAATAATTTTTATCATAGAGTATGTATAGCCTGAAAAAATATAGAAAATAGAAATTGTTATATAATCATAGAACTACCTTATATAAGAGGAATTAGATAAATTTGTAACAGCTTCAAAAGAAATAACTAACATGTAGAAGTTTACAAGAAACGGTTGGAAACTTGAGGTATTTAAATAAGGAACAAGCTACCTTACAAAGTAGTGAACTTTTCATCAAACTAAGTAAAGGTGAAATGTTCACTTGTCAGAGACAGTGTAAAAAGGTTTTTATGCAATGACTAGGTCGTCACCTAAAGGACTAAAGGTTCTAAAAACCCTTTCTAACCTGATAACTCTTTTCTTTTTTTTTGAGTTGGAGTCTCACTCTGTCGCCCAGGCTGGAGTGCAGTGGCCGCTCCCGGCCTCCGCAGCCTCCACCTGCTGAGCTCCGGCGATCCTTCCGCCTCCACCTCCTCAGCCTTCTGAGTAGCCGAAACCACAGGCGCGCCACCACGCCCAGCTGATTTTTTGTAGAGATGAGGTCTCGCTGCCCAGGCGGGTCTCGAACCCGCTGATAACTCTTAACAGTAAAAGAAGACCTTTCAGTCATTCTCTGAAATCTGTGGCAAAAGATAATCAAAAGCTAAAACACCTAAATATTTCTTCCCACTTTTTATTCTTTGAATTCCAAAGAAGGAAAATGCTGTCTGTCTCTATCTTGTGAGAGAAGAAAAGGGAAATCTTATTTTTAATGATTAAAAGATGATTATGATTAAGATGCCTTTCCTTTTAAAATTTAAATTTTTAGTGCTAGAATGGGGAAGCCAGCAGAAGGCAGCCGGGGGCAAAGGGGCGAGTCCCACTTTATTCTCCCTTCCTGTAGTGGTTCTTGTGCTCCACAGTTCGGTAAGCATCTACTGTTGACATCAGAGTGCAGTGGTTCCCCCCTTATCCACAGAAAATATGTTCCAAGACGCCCAGCGAGTTCCTGAAACTAAAGATAATATAGAATCATATATGTATATGTGTGTGTGCACGTGTATGTGTGTGCGCGCGCGCGCGTGTGTAAGGGGGGACTTCAAAAAACTGGAATTTATTTATGAAAAAGTTGTGTATTTATTCCTACATGTTTGAACTTCAGTCACCCTTAAAGCACTCTGTCTGATGCGACCCACCTACTGACCTATTGAGATTTTTTTTCCACTGCTCAAAACGGTTTTTGAACTCGTCAACTTTGATGTCTTTTGGTGCTTCTGCCTTTTTTAGTTTCGCCTCTTCCACATCAGCAAAACATTTCCCTTTAAGGACCTTTTAAATCTGGGGAAACAAAACAAAGTCGCTCATGGCGAAAATGGGTGAAATGGGGAGGGGCACAGGGGTCATACTGTTTTTGGTCGAACACTGCTGAACCCTCAGCGCAGTGTGGGCAGGTATGCTCACAAATCACCCATCATGAAATGAGCAAATGTGTTGAAAGGCTCTCCCCAAAAAAGATTCACCGCAGCCGAACACTAGCTGGCACAACACTGGCTGGTACACTAGTGCTGACGTGTTCCCAGAACACTTGCCTCGCGGGAGGCGTCTGTACGACCAGAGGCCCACCCTCCGAAAGATAATCCTGGCGTTTGGGGGCTCCCCTGACATATACGGCTTATTCTGTGTGTTGATCCCACACACACAGGCCTATGATAAAGTGTGACTCACAAATCAGGCGCAATAAGAGAGTAACAACAACAGCAAAAAAACAGAACAATTACAACAAAGTGCTGCGACTGGAGTCCTGTGAAAGTGGTCTCTCTCTCAAAGCATCACGCTGCACGGCGCTCGCCCACTCTCAGACTGCGGCGGGCTGCCAGACACCGAAACCCGGAAAGCAGAGCCCGGGCCAAGGGGCCTGCCGCGGGAGTTCGAGGAGTGGGCACACCGCGCGCGAGAACCACGTGGCCAGGATCAAGCGCAAGTGCATGCTAACGTTTAACTGTGTCCCCCATCTCCCCATCCCACCCCGTTCCATCCCGCCTCCTCCTCCAACCAGAAAATAAGAGCGTCTCCTTCCTCCGCGCACGCCTTCTTCATTTCCCAGCAAGCAGCTGCCCTCGACAGATGCTTGCCTGCACCCTTTTCCAAAAGTACAGCCGGCGGCCGGCTCGGTGGCTCAGCCGGCGCCCAGCACTTTGGGAGGCCGAGGCCAGGGGCC